CTCAATTGATCCTTCCCCTACTCGTACAAGAAATTTCTTCTCAGGTGCTTCACACTCACGTGCTATCCACAAAAGCATGTCACGGATTACATTATGCCTCTTTACAAATTTTACATCTTCATCCCTTTCTAATAAACAAGCATTGAGAAGAGAATTGATAATGTTGTACCCTTGCAAGTTTACAATTTTAGATACCGTGGGCTGGGTAGCTTTTAGATCTACTTGGGCTGCAAGTTTACAATTTTAAAATCTCCTTGCTTCTGTAGATCAAAGTTGTAGCTAGACTTACACTTCTTGGAAAAGCAGCCAGTAAAACAGTCTGCACGCTTGAAAGCCAGAGTTGAACTTCGTTGAGCCGCTCCATATGTTGTTGCTCGGCAAGGTCTACCTTCTTCTTCACGTCAGCCATTCGCGCATTCAGTTTCGCCAATTCCCTCTTCAGAGCTTCAAGATTATCTTCAAGCTTACATATGTAACTTGCTTGTCCAACAATGCCATCCCAGCAGCGAGAGACTGCACCCTCTGTTGGGAATGAGAATGACATTGAGCACAGATTTCCCCTGATTTAGTGATCAAATATTTGATTGATGAACAAAGAAGAATGAAAAATGAAAATGGATTGTGGGTTTAAGGAGACTGACTGCTTGTTTTAATAAATTTTGATGGCCGACAGGAAGATGCAACGCTGTTGCGGCCATTGACTTTGTCGGCTACTAGAATTAGTATCGAGTTAGATGGTGATTGAAATATCTGGTGGAAGAAGACGACAGCCTTTTAAGCAGAATAGCGATTCTAGTATTTTCTTTTTGAATATTAATACGACTAATTTGAGTACTATTTTATGATGTGATACTCTCTTTTTTTAATTCAAAAGGGGAAAAGAAATTGATGCTCTTATGTTTGCTGAGTACAAAATAACCAATCCCCTTTTTCATAGACAACAACAACGGGAGTAATCACTAGCATAACCAAAAGGGTAATTTCAATTTTTAATTTTTTATTATTATAAATTAAAACTTGATATATAATATGGTTATTTTTATAATTACCTTTTAATCACTCTTTATGCAAATCTTGAATTTATCACCGAGGCTAATCAATTTTCGAATTGAAAGAATTCTTTCCTATTTAATATTAGAAACATGCTTTGTATATATATAGATTGTAGGAAAATAAAATTATATATTTTATAAATTAAATGTTTTATTATTATTCTTGAAAAAGTATAATGTAGTTACCATATTCTTGGTACCACGAAGAATAGTCTCTTTTTGTTAAAAGGAGTTAAAAAGAGATAATTGTGAAATCTCAGTGCAAAGGCTAATGTAATTACCATTACCATACTTCTTAAAAAAAAAATTACCATTACCATAAAACTACAGAACAGCTAGAAAACAATTTACATTGAACTAGTCCTGGTATGTGATTGACCCCAATAACATCGAGATTGTCTGTTACAGAACATCAAGGAACAAAATTTCAGACCAACAATGCAGTATGGAAGCCATCACCTATCCTATCTACTTGAGGAATCATCCTCCTAAACATTGCAGGGTGAATCTTGGGGGATTACTCGGTCCTTCTGGTCCCTTTCTCGAAGCACCCCACAACCTGTTGCATGAGAGCCATCCTCTCAACAAATGAGCTAACTTGACCTCTGGGAGAGGAATTTCCTCCTCTTCTTCATAATGATTAGAGGTGGAGCTATCCTCTTGGTTTTCATCCTTGTTATTATAATCCACAGCTTTCTGTTGTTTCTCTTGATGATAACTTGATCCCGATGACAACCTATACGCAGAGCAATTTGAAAAGAGATAAAAAGAACCAGAAACAAACCATGTGTCACCCAGAGTCTAAAACATGGCATGGCTCATCTGACAGTATCATCAAATACAAAAGATTAAAGAATAAAGCACAGTTGGTCGGGCCGAGTACCATTTGCAGGGAACACTGTGGTGTTTCAAGCGTCTTCTTAAAGGTGATTGGTTGACGGACATGTGTCTAATAAATTGAAGCTGTAATGTTCCAGAAAACAAACATCAGACAATAACAGCTTGAATTCATAAAAGGTAAAAATGCACCTATTAAGGCTTCAGATGAAACTCAAGAAGAAAATAAAGGCAATTATCACCTCTGAACTTAAAAACACCTGATGTCTGATAGCAAGGTTACTTTCTAAACATGAAAACATAAGAACACCATCTCATACAGCTCTTCCCCAGTGTTCAATCCAGCCATCCAAATTGTAAGTACTAGTAGTATTATGTAATTCAGAAATTTAACAAAACTAAACAAAACCTGATCACCATCTTTGATCCCAAAATTTCTAATGCAAGCCTTGTTGTTTACCAGCTTCTGACCTTCATAAGACAAGCAAAAATGCCCCCAAACATGTGACCTAACATCAAGTGTTATAAATCAGTAAATCACACATATCCTGATCAACTCAAAAACAATCTAAACCCACATAAGAAACACATTTTAATCAATCAAACGGATAAAAATCATGCCTAATCTGATAGCCCATGAATCAGTTAATTATTACGAGCTATACCATGAAATACTGCCATGAGTCTCCCCTGGCAATGCTGCAAATAGTTCCTCTATTGCTACCTTAAGCTCTGCAACTGTAGCATTCCTTCCTACGTTAACATCTGCATATAATCCAAAAGCCTCATTCAGCGAACCAAGAGAACCATACTGGACTAGCTAACTCAAATAATTTTAACTCTCGTGAGCTAATTCAAAAGCACTACACCAGTTTTATATTACAAAAAGTTTCACTTTTTCTCTTTTTGTTCTTTTCTTTCCTTTAGATGCAAAAAGCGAAAAAAGGGAAAACAGGAAGTACAAGGTGAAAGAATCGCCATCACCGACGCTTAAAGATTCATCAAAGTGATCAGTTCTGCCTTTCTCACATCCACCTTAAGATTTTGAACTAAGCACTACGAAGAACACCAGCAGAAAAACAGAAGGGTAAGTGAGAATCGATGGAGTTTTACCAAAGAGAGAACCGTCGAGCTTGAGAACAGAGAGCTTAAAGTTACGCTGTTGAGGAAGTTTCCGATACAACAACTTCCGTGCAACGATAGCATCGTTATCGTCACCGTCACCGCCACCGCCGCTATTAAAACTCAGCGGAGCTAAACGCCGCCTCTCTAGCAAATTGAAAACCCGCAAGCTACCGCCACGACAACTGTTGTTGTTCCCCTCATAGCTTTCCATAATTAATCCAACTCTGAAATTTTAGGCTTAGGATCAACTGAGACGAAGCAGCAGTGACAAAGAAAGGAAGACGGAGAGTTTCTTTCGTTTGTCTTTCGAGAAGAGACCGTTGTGGGGGGATTTTCATTTGGTTTTTTTATTTTAATTTTAAGAGATTTTGGGATTTTCAGTCCCCTCCAGAGTTGAAAATCGGAGGCTACTCGCGTCTTGGGAAGGAAACGTGGCGGTAAAGGTATAAAGAAAAGCGCGTGTTCGTCACGGAGGTGATTTTCCAAATTGAGTTTCAGGCCCACTTGTTATTTTTCTTTTTCTTTTTTAATTTTTAAATAAATTTAAAAATCTGATTTCTTCCAAATTAGTTTTATCAAAATCTAACAGAAATTTAAATTATTCAAAAATTTAAATATTTTTTATTTTTTATTATGTACTACCAAACTCTTACAATTTTATTTTAAATTAATTAAATTTTTATAATTAATAATTAATTAAATTTCTTTAATCAAAATGATGCATATCATTTTTATAACATGTGACATTAATATAACATATTGATTTATCATGATTAATGATAATGTGTCATAATATGATCATATGATAATTTCAATCTTACAAAGATAAATTCATATGTCACGTAAGCATTACGTGATTATAAAATGACAAATATTATTTCATCTAAATTAATCAATTTGATTGAAAATAAAAATATAAAAATTTTATTTAATATAACAAAAAAATTTAAAAAAATATTTTTTTTTATTATTAAAAAATCTATTGCGTCACTTTTTCATAATAAAACATATTTACGAAAAAAATTTAAAAGAATTCAATCGTTTCTTTGAGAAGAGAAAGATATGCATGATAGGAAGTATGAATAATTTTTTTTTAACGCACATGATATTTGAAAGTTTTAAATAACAAAATTAAAACCTAAAGATTGGATTCGAATATTTTTTATTGGTGATCGAAGGTTCCAACCGATTTTTGAGTAAAGAATACATGCATTTAGGATGTAGAAGCAAGTCCACCAAAGCAATGTCACACTCGCGCTTGACTTGATTGAAAAGCTCGAGGCTCTAGCTTGATCAAGTTTTATTTTATGCTCAAGTTTGCCTCAAAAGATAATTGAGCTAATCGAGCTCAACTTGACTATTATTGTTAAACATGTCAATTGATAGGATATTCGGTTGTTTTAATTACCTTAATACAAATTTGATTATTTG